GTGCAGATTAAGCGTACTAAGCTTGTACTAATTAGAGAATGAACAAGCAAACCTCATGCTGCCAATAATCTCAAGGAAATGGCTTTATTTGTGTTGTCTTGAGGTAGGAATCCCACATATATATCAGTCTCGATCCTTTTTATACTGAGGTATCGAGGAACACAGAACTCAGTTCATTTAAAATAGACCCTTCCAAGTGACCATTACACCCCTGATCTTAATTTTCCTGTGGTTAATATTTCACTTTGGATGGATTTGTTGGAGAAGTATTTTAACAGCTAACCACTGAATGAAGTGCCCCCCACCACAGCTTTCTTCTTCAGCTTTATTTTCTCCCAGGAACATCTTGAGAATCATACTGCCTATTGCAGTTTTTTCTCTCTGCAAGAGTTGGCCAGGGGAAAGCCACATGTCCTACCTGGAACCACAGATGTATCTTTCTTTGATTATATAAGTCAGATGCAGATCTGCAAAGACTGCACAGAGTTGGTTGTGTGAGACAAGAATTGTGTTTATGGAACCTCGTCACATTTTTTTTTAGAGCATCATTCTAGAGAATAGCACTAGCCGAGACATTGGGACCTGTGATACTTTAAAGGACGAAGTTGGGGCTGGACATAGTGGATTCCATGCCTGTAATCCTAGCTGCTTGGAAGGCTGAGGCAGAAGGATCGCCAGTTCAAAGACAGCTTCAGCAACTTAGTGCATCTTAGCAAGTCCCTGACTCAAAATAAAATATTTAAAAAGGGCTGGAGATGTGGCTCGGTGGTTAAGCGCCTCTGGGTTCAATCCCTGGTGAAGGAGAAGGGGAAGGAGGAGGAGGAAGTTGGACTCCTTAATCCTTTGAATCAAGTCCTCTTCAAAACAGTTGGACTAATTATATATTTCCCACTAAGATTAAGGGAAGGGGTTTATAATTTGATCAAAATGTTAGTAGTTCTTTATGTTTTCATAGCACCCTATAGTTTTCAAGAGAAGTCTATTCCCATTCACTCATTGGATTATCCCTCCTCCAGTCCTTCTGAGACAGAAAGGTGAGCAGGGTTCCCGTGGTGGATGGTGGAATGCCTCCATTCTTGGGAGCACTTCACATCTGCTCAGCCGTACACATTTCTGGAGGGCTCCACCTCTGTCAGGTATGTGCAGGAAACTGAGGGCTCCCGTGGAAACAGATGTCAAGACAGGGAACAGATCCAAGTGTATGCAAGGCCATTTGTCCCCTCATTCACTTATTCACTCCTTCATTTATTCTCGAAACAAACAGTTCCTAAGCCTACACTAGTGTCTCCCAGGTGACAAAATGACATAATGTTTAAAAGTGGAATGCTGGAATAGGAGATTTACACACTGGTCCTGACACTTATTAACCTTGAGTTTTCCAAAAAATTTTATCTGGGCAGTTGGGAGATTACATAGTCATTCTTTATCAAGAATGACTGTGGGGGAAAGAGAAACCAGATTAGCTTGTGGTGCCAGGCTAGATCAGCCAAGCCTCCTGGCTATCCACGTCTCTGACACAAAGACTCACTGGTAGTCCCTGTTAATGTCTTCTTTCTGATGAAATTAGAAAAGTGGCGTTTCAGTGTTGCTAACTCCAGGAAAGACTTGGGTAGGGGAGATGTCAGTATTAGCATGCGCACTTTCACTTCTTCCAGCATGACTGGCTGCCCGGCTGGTACCCATCAGGAGGTGTGTTCTAATCAGGTGATCCAGCTGAACCCTGTAGGGCAGATTCCCAAGCAGGAAGGCCTCAATTCAAACCTTACTCTCTCACTTACTACTTGGGCGTACCCTCGAACAGTTCCTTACTTTTTCTTAGCCTCAGCTTTTGTTTTGTTTGGTTTATTTCATTTGGAAGATAGGAATATATTATCCACCCCGTAGGGTTATCGAAGAATCAAAGGAAGTAGTGCCAACTAAGCACCCCTCCCATGCGGGTAAATACTGTGATTTCTGGAACCATGTTTATACTCAGGCATTTGCTAGATGCTGGGCTACAGGGATCAACGTGGTTCCTATCTCCAGAGCATTTCTCATCTACCAGGGTAGAGCCTTTCAACAAATAACTATGTATTCATTACAATTCTGAGAAGTGTTGGAAAGGTGCAGTCCTGTGGAAGGGGAAGTGGACAACAGCTTTATCTGTGGACTGGGGAAGGGCTTCCTTGGTACCAGAAGGTTCCATGGGAGCCTCCGCAGGGGAAAAGGAAGAGACCTGAGCTGGCTGTTCACTATGGGATGAAATCGATTTTGCAAACCAGTTTTAAAAGGATGAATTATTCATTAAATTAAGCTGGGGATAAAAGGTTAGCATTCGGGAGGAAGTCTTATTCATACCATGCTCCAATTTTCAGGTAGAATAAACTACTAAATGTAAAAAAGTAAACCCATAAAACAATTAGAAGAAATTATATTAAATATTATTTTACTACTTAGGGGTTGAATGTATACTAGAAAAGCTTGTGTGTTTCTGCTATTAAAAAGCTCATATTTCTGAAGATCCAAAGGTATTATAAACAAAACACAAGTAAATGATCAATTGCAAAACTATTTGTAAAATAGACAACAGAGAGTTGATGTCCTTAAGACATAAAGAGCTCTCGTTAATCGGTAAGAAAAACAAGTGTCCGAATAATCTCAGTGACAGTAGGGACATTGTCCTTTTTAGATTTTTATCCCTAGTATATTCTCCAAAAGAATGAATGAATGAATGAAGCAATCAATCATGATGGAAAATTGGGCAAAGTACACAGGCAGTCTAAGAAAAGACACGCAGGTGGCTAATTCCCATGTGAAAATGTGAAGTGACCAAAATGAAAATAAGAAGACCATTGAAATTTAACTTTCAATCATCAAATGGGCCCATTTTGGAAATAATGACAGGACCCAATGTGGGTGAGAATTCAGGACACCAGCACCGGTTACCGCTGGCGGAGTGTATGTGTGCTTCCATTCTCGAGTAATCTGGAAATGTGTTCTAGAAGTATTGCTTTTGGGTCTAGAACAGTTACTTTGACCCAACTATTCTACATGTTGGAATTAGTCCTACAGGAAAAAATCAGAGGTTTTGCAGAGATGCTCGTGATCTATTTATCAAACTCAGACTACAGATGAGTATATGGGCATAATCCTCATCTGTAAAAATGCATACACAGACGTACTATACCTAGAAAAGAGATGGAAAGATTTTATGTGACAATAACATTATTAATGGGTAGTGAGACTCTAAGCAATTTTAGTTTCCTATATGAGGTTTATTTTTTTTCCCTTTTATTTTCTACTGAATGAGCCTTCATGGCTTGGCAAATTAAAAAATAAATAAAATGATTTTATAAAAGAATGATTTTACCTAATGAATGGGAACACGAAACTAGCATTGGGTAGGGATTTAAATTCAGTCCAACTAGTTTGAGAGGGCAGTTTGCCATTGTATCAAAAGACTAGAAAAATATGCAGCTCCTTTGATGCAAGAGTTTCCTGTCTGGAAACTGGAATGACATATATCATCTTCAAGTAATAGATTACAGACTTTAATGTTGGTGGGTTTCATGTGCATGTTTATATTCTAGGTTTCCAGAAAAGAGTATACAGAAAATAACAAAGGTAGTAAAAGAAATTAAGGACTCCTCATGAGTTCCTACAGTTATCACTCTTGTCAAGAAGATGGGCTACGAAACTGCCACGTCCAAACATGTGCCCTCTTGTTGGTGTGAACACTTGGGCAAAGCCCAGGGACTTTTCTCACTCTACATAAATATTAGTAATGCATTAAATAAATGGGGGAGGTCTGGCAAGCAGAAAGTTTTCTAATGTCCCAGGACATATAAGTAGACATTCTGGGCCATTAAAAAAAATATCCTAGGACATTTCAAAGTCAAAGCCATATATAAGACGGCAGGATGGTCGTGCCAGGCGCCTTTAGTATAGCTTCACTTCGAATCCTGGGTGCGATCCACGGGCCTGGGTATCGTGGGCTTAGACACAGGGCCTCCCTCAGAGGTCATGAAGCCAGTGTTTTAATGTCACATCACACTTAGAAATTCAAAACAGCATCACTCCCTTCCCCCAAGGGGTGGTTAGAGAATTACTCTGCAGATTCTGGGACCCACAAGGTAGAGGAGGAGGAGAACAAGCTGCCTGTGGACCAGGCACTGACCGCTGTCCACACTTTGCCAATTCATTTAGTCCATTCCTCACTCTGCACATCTTTAACTGAAGCATTTTTTAAAAATCTCAAATGTCGTGTCACCCATGAGTACTTCATTTCTCACACATTTCACCCATAAACACACTCATCTGTAATAGAAAAGGACACTTTTATTTAGACACCCTGCAATTACGCCACCTAACAAAATCAGCAAGTCCCTTAACCTCTCACCTAATGTGCAGACCACGTCTTCATTTTTCTCAATTGTCTCAAGATTTCTCTTTTACAGTTGGTTGGTTTGAGTCAAAAAGTTTCAGATATTACACTGTTTGCCTCTTTAAAAATGTTCTAGATCATGAGTCACTCAACCGACTGGCTGCCCATCTTTGCACCTCAACATGCAACACAAGGAAACCACAGTATCACTTCATTCTTCCTCCTCCTCTTCATCTTCCTCCTCATCTGGTCACTTTCAGCAAAGCTCAGTTGCAGAGTCTGATGGTCTTACGTATCAGACCCCAGCTCTGAACGACCTCTCTTGTTTTCCAAAAATTAATTCCATCTCAGCGTCCCTACATTTCCCACCAGCGAGGATTGTTAATTTACCTCGAGATGGTGCTGCAGCATCTCCATGTGGACTTGGAAGAGGAATCCCCAAAACAGGGCTTGGGCAGTGAATCATGGGGCCAGGGTTCTGCATGTGGCCCGTTTGAAGGACCCTTGGTGTGGAAATCAGAGACGGGGATTACCCCGCATCATCTGCATGGACCCATGCCTCTGCACTTGACTTCCTGCTCTCATGGGGCTCTGTGATTTACCACCAAAAATAACTGATGTGTTTGTTCTCACACAGATAATCGCTTACCAGCCATATGGGAAGTCCGTGGACTGGTGGGCCTATGGCGTGCTGCTGTATGAAATGCTGGCTGGCCAGGTAACGTGGAGCTACGGCCTCCTGTTTGTTTGTTGTGTCCCCTGTGACTGCTTCAGCTCTGGGCACTGATGGAGGGCCTGACAGTGGAGTGCCCTGGTATGGGTCTGACTTCCCTTGAGAGTGTGTTCGGTGCACATGGAAATGATCTTCTATCTCCTGATAACAAAAACTCAAGTGCAGAGCTGCAGCCTGGGGTGCAGACCGTGTGGCTTTCCCGTCACGCCCAAAGCACCCTGCACGTTGATGACAGCAGCGGCCGCTGTAAGTTTCCAGTATCTCCCCACGAGGGTCGGGTTAGGGTTCCCCGCAAGTTTGTCTGCACAGATCGCCCCCCTGGGGCCCACATGCCTAACTAGTGTCATTATTTAAGAAGAAGGTTAAATAAGAGCAAGAATTTGATGGCTCCTCCCATCTCCCCGACTCCCCCTTGGCAGTCCACAGTATCTGCACAAAGATCCAGTGAGGTTGAACTTCCGGTTTAGCAAAGGCCAAGGAGACTTCTCTCAGGGTGTGGCTTGTATCAGAGAACCAAACACAGTGTCGCCTAAGGTGACATTTTCTGTCCTAAGGTGACACTTTCTGATATGATGGCTTTCATGTCATATCTTTGGAGTAAGTCACCCTAGCTGCTTTGGAAACAGCCCACCTCCAGATCTCAGTGGTAACACACTCATTCTTGGCCTTGTACTGGGGGTGGGGGTAGGGGTGACACTGACCCACATGGTCACTCAAGGACCAGCTTGCTTTTATCCCTGAGTGCCACCAACTCACAGGACCTCAGATTCCTCCAGTGAACTCTCCCCTGTGCGTTGCTATAATTACTCCCTGTAACAAGAGAATAGACAGAAATAGGCTGAGTGGCTGAGCTGCCCCCCAAAAAAGTCTTTGTTTCTGGACGGGGTTGCAGCCCAGCGGTACAGCACCAGCTTGGCATGCACAGGGCTTGGGTTAGAACCCAGCGCTGCAGTAAGAGGGAAGGAAGGAAGGAGGGAAAGACGGAGGGACTCTTCTGACATGCTGCGTCTGTGAACTTGTTTATTCATTGACTAAATGCTTACTGTGTGTTCAGTGATGACAGAGAATGAGACAGACAACAATCCTTACATCAGCGTGCAGCTTAGAGAAGGAGAGATAATAGACTAGTTAGATAAAGAACATGCATGGTATGTTGGTGATAAGAGGAAAAGTAATGAGGCAGGAAAAGAAGATAGAGATGAGCAAAGATTGAAATTTCAGCTAGAATAGACCAAAGGAAGCGAAAGCAAGTGAGACCATGGCTGGAGGAAGACCTTTCCAGCAGCGAGAATAGCAAGTGCAAAGGCCCTGAGGTGGGAGTGTGTGTGGCTGTGTTGAAAGGCAGGGAAGCCACCAGTGTGGTGAGAGCACGGAGCTAGTGGGAGCAGGAGGCTGAGGTTGGAGAAGAAATCATTGGTATGTGAGCAAGGAGGTCATTGCTAGGCCACTCTGGGGTGGAAAGCCACTGATGTCTCCTCCATATCTCCGACATTTTGTCTCAAATCTCTTAGGTACTGATGTAGTCTTTAGATATTGAGAGATATAAGGTACTAACCTACATTTGCTCATTCTTTTTCAATGGTGTGAAGACTTGATTGACATCAAAAGAGTGGCTTGTTTATTTGTTTAGATTTTCCCCCTCAATCAAAGCCTGTTCTTAGGCCAAATTTCTTGGTGACTGAGAACAGAAAAAAAAGCCAGTTATACATACACAACCACCGACCGTGAGACAGCGGCTGCAAATACAAGCCGTCTGCACCTGAAATTCACTCCCCAATAAAATTTGGACAATACAATTGGACCCTGAATTACCAGTCTCCGGGAGCCACGCTGTTCATGAAGGCACAAGAGGCCAAGTTCCCGTCCTTGATCCCATTTGAGCGATAGAACTTTGAGCCCAGAAAACAAACCCTGCTTTCATTAAGAGTCTCATTTGCAAAGGACAAATGAAGCAGCAGAGCGGAACCCTAGGCTGGCTGCCAAGGGCACTCCACAGGCCGTAACGTGAGTCAACTCTTGGCCCACAGGAGGGAGTTCCAGAACGCAGTCCTGCAGCCGAGCCCTACCCCTCAGCCCCACGCCTGCCTGCCTTCTTCTCCAGGCCTTCCTGGGGTCTCATTTTCTAGGTGAGAACTCAGGGAGTACCCCACCCGGAAGGAGGTCCCCTTTGGGGTACACACTGAAGTCCTGCCTGCCTCAAAGTCCTCCTTTGAAGGCGTCCTGGCCTGGCCCACACCTTCTGCAGAGCCCTGGGCTCCTGCTCCCCACACCTAGTGGTTCCGTAAACCTGTGGTGTGTTTCCATTATTTCCCTTCCCAGACTCAGAGATAATTAGCCTGCCTTGTGCGCATCCCTTGAAGTCTTCGTAATCTCTATTGAAAATGGTGATTTTTTTTCTTTTTCTTTTTTTTTTTTTTTTTTTTTTGCAAAAATGACACATCATCTCGCCTTCGGTGCAGAGGCAGGCCCAGATAACAGCCTTTGTTCTCCAAGTCCTCACCTCTCCCGCTGCAAACGGGTAGCGTTCAGGGACCCTCCATCAGCCTCCTTGCAGATTGCTCAATGCAAATTTAAGTGAATTTCTGGTTTGTAATTCAGCCCAGAAAAGATGATGAAGGTTCCTCGGGTATAGCCGCCCAGCACCTCAGACCTGCGGGAACCTCAGAGAGCTGGCGAAGAGCATAGATGCAGCCATTGGAAAGGAGGATTCATGATGAAGTTGTTGGCAGGGCTGTGGTCTGAATTTGTTCTCCTTCACCACAGAGGGCTGAAGACGAGCAGAAAAAAATAGTTTATTGCAAATTTCTTCTCATTTGGTTTATTTATTGTCAGCAGCCAAGGGGCTGTTAAGTATAAACAGCCTCAGTCTTTATTCAGTTCCTGAGGTTGCTTGACAAACAGGATTGCTTTAGAGGCATGAGCAGGGCCCGCCCAGCACTCTAGCAAGCGCACAGCTGCTCCCAGTGTTCACAGTATTCGTGGTGAAGGGACCAGCCCTCTCCTCTGCAGGTCCTTCTCTACCCAAGTTACTTACGCTATCTTCATTCCTGATGCATAATGGGTATTCCTGATAATGGGTATTTTATCTCAGTAATTGGAACTTCAGCCCAAGTGGTCCCTGGGTGTTCGCCCAGCCCCTGTCCCAGGTCCTCAGGGATCTGCAAATAAATATGGAAGGGCTCCAACCACCACTACTAAGAAGTGATTCAGGAATCCTTTTGTGCAAAACCATCACCCTTCACTTGTCTGTCTGAAACTCACAGATCACACATTTCTAAAGTAGGGTGAGGGGCACTGCCCATCCAGAAAACTCACACAAACCCCAGATTTGTTAGGAGGGATTCTAGCTTGGAACCCCGAGTTCAGATTTATAGAAGTTAAAAAAGAGCCGTGGGAATGGGCTAAAGAGGAGACAGAGGCAATCTAAAATGGTCACATTCAAAGTCCCTGGGCAACACACTCCCACATGGTCCCCAGGCTAAGTAGCTGACATTAGGAAGAGAAAAGGAATATAATGGCAGCTTGTCACCATTGACCTGCCTTCAACCACAAGGCCTGAGAGCAGGCTGTTGCCTGTCAGAAGGCTCCTGGGGTGACCTGGAGGACTTACCAAGGGCAGGAACATGTTCACATCCTTCGGCATACAATCCCACACCCAGGATATCATTCTCAGGAGGCGATTCAGAAGAGGAAAAAAATGATATACACAGAGGTGTTTATAGCAGCGTTAGTTATTAGAGCACAGCGCTGGAAGCAGTTGTAAATGTGCCTGTGGACAAATGACATATCGCCTGGGTGGCACTCAACTCGGAACAGGAACACTGGTGGCTACAGAGAAGATGTGTTTGCAGCAGTGAAAAAACAAAGAACTTCAGATTATGCATCACAATTGGAAAATAATATAAGAACGCCTAAGAGTCCAGGCAGGTTTTGCACTTTGAATATTTAGACGAGGAGAATGGAGGGGTTACTTTCGTGGACTTCCCCTCCCCCTCATATTACATAATTTCAACTTAAAGTAGAGCTCGGGGAAGCTTTTCTGATTGCAATGGTCATGACTATTAGACACCAAATATTTTTGGTCTGCTCCCCACTCTGGCACACAGTAGGGTGTATTCCTGGCTCTCCAGTGATTGAGTGGGGCATGGTTCTGGCCAAGGAACTCTGAGGGGAAGTGTGCCAGGGAGGGCACTGAGTGCTGGCAGAAGACACAGAGCTCCTGTTCCCACCTCTGCCACGCAGACCAAGATGGCGGCCACTCCATCAGGGCGGGGCCTTGAATGACCGCGTCAGCAGAGCCCTGGGCGACCCCCAGTCGGCATGCAACATTGGCAAGAAATAAAATGTGTTGTCTGGAATTTTGGAGAAATTTCCGGTGTCTGTTGCCCCAGCAGAGCCCAAAGATGCAAGTGGCCACCACCCTGAAACAAGCCAGGAACAAAAGGGCACTCATCGTAGGATCCCACTGAATGGCGCCAAGAGCAGTCTTCACACATCTCAGGCCCTGGGGGACAGCCCCCTCTTTATTTTCCTCCACCATCCAGCTCCTGGGTCCATGTGGGCAGGACAGTGCTTATGGTGGCCAAGACTCGGGCTCACTAGTCAGGACACCTGTGTTAGGATCCCGGTTGTTCCACAGCAGCTCTGTGGCCCTGGCCAAAGCACGGAGCTGAACCGCAGTGATCTCCCCTGTCCTTGGGGCTTCTGGTCCCCACATGGTAGGACTGGTCCCAGGATTGAGTGAGCGGAGCCCACAGAGCTCTCCTCAGGTGCTGGACATAGAGAAGGAGCCCAAGAGGACAGTGTTACTGTCACATCATTGCCGCTCTGCCCCACAAGTCCATCCTGCCCCTGTTTTACCACCAGTTTAGAGTCACAGTGGGCCAAGAACCTGAGGGGTAGAGGCGTGACCTGGGGTATGGTGACAGGGAAAGCCCTAATCCTTGGGGACCCACCAAGGGTGAATCTTGAGGCTCCATCCCAAGCATGCCGGCTTGGTTCTGGTTTAGTAATCCTGCTGCAAATGTCCAGCCTGAGGGGCCTCTGGGGATCCTTCCAGCTGAGACTAAAGATTCACACTGAGTAGAGCAGCTTTCTTTACTGGAGGGCCTTAGGGCTTTGAAATGTGGGCGTTAGTGCAGGTCTCCTGCCTGGGCCCTCTTACCCAGGAGTGTGCTGTAGGATGGATGTCCTAGGGTGCCCTCTTTGGAGTGTGTCAGGATTCGGGTGACCTGACCTAACGGGGGACAGAGAAGGCTTGATGGTAAGCGTTCTCCCTTGACTCGCAGTGGACAGAACCCAGTTCCTCACACAGCAGCTTCCATTTCAGAAATTAGCATAGATGGGGACAGCTCACCTGGCAAAGTGGGTTCCCATGCCACGAAGCAATCAAGCAGATGTGGTAGACCCTGCACCGAACACGAGGGTTCCTGGAGAAGGGTCACCCAAGTGTCTCTGGACGCTGTTCCTTTAGGGCTTGGGCTGGGGTTGTCTGGGTCGCATTTCTGCTGCTGGGACTTGAGCATCCCCAGGGGGGCTGGTTGGGTCTTGCTGGTGCCTCTGTCACTTGACCACCCTTGCCGGCTCCGTGGGTGTGCAACCTGGGCAGCCACACCAAGCCTGAGCTCAGAAGAGCTGCGAGTTTGGTTGGATGCTTTGCCATCACCATCTGGAAATTCTTCATAGTTTTTAATAAAGGGTCCAAGACCTGCAAATTACGTAGCTGATCCTGACCAGAGACCCTAGTGGGCCATGTTGTGAGATGTGGACTGGTGATCCAGAAACAGAGCCCCCACCCCGCTCACCTCCAGGAGACCACTGACACCATAGAGCACGTGCCCACCCACCCAAGGCTCCGTGCTCCTGGAGAGGCTCAGCTCACAGCCCAGAGCAGAACTCACACCTTGTTTGAGTTATGAAAATCTCCACCAAAACTTGGCCACTTCTGGACCACGTGTTGGGGAAGGTGAGGGGTCATGTGGATATCACGAGAGGCACTGAGAAAAAGTAGGGTGCATGATATCAGGCCAAGAAGATGCGGTGATGACGTGGACAGCAGACCTGGCCATCACTGCAGCTCTTGGCCAAGAACAGCCCTCCCCCATCCCTGGCCTGGCCTGGCCTGCTCTGCTCTCTGGGGATGGAGGCGACACATGCCCCTGCTAGCACAGGTTGCCCCCTGCAGCTGGACTGCCCATCTGGCCTGCTTGTGGGCCCCTGGGTGCCATGTTCCCTCCTCCGGTGGCAACACGCATGCCATGGCAGGCTGCCCCTGCCCACTCTTATTCACAGGCAGGCTTAATTTTAGCTCTCCTCACCCACCTACATGTTTCCACCAAATAAGACATTCTCTACAGCATGCACTTACAACCGGAAAGGAGGCTTTTTTATTTATATTTCTAGACAAAAACACAATCAAGTGTCACCAGTCATCCAACCCTCACTTGTCCATACCTGACCCCAAAGACAGAGACCCTTATGACCCAGCATCTGTCCGTGGCTCCTATGACCTGACCCACACTCAGCTCCTGGCCAGGGCTCTCTACAGGGATGCCCCCCGGCTCTGCCTTCTCTATGCTAAGCTCAAGGTTACCTGAGCCAAGGAGGATCCTGAAGGAATTTCCCATGAGCCCATTCCTGCCCTGTGCAGCCCGCCAGGGTGACAGATCATTGGATGGGAGCCCAGATGTGCTGGAGGAAAAGGCTCCAAGGGCAGGTGGCTCAGCCTCTGCTCCTGGAGAAGTCTCCCAGCCTCTCCCAAGAGGCTCTGCAGCCTCACCGACCACCGCCAGGTTTCCTTCCTTTGCTCTTAGTGCAGCACACAGTGCCAGGTGCTGTAGACTCCCCAGAAACCTGTCGTAGAAAACCCCACTGTGAAATGAGTAAGCCACTTGCCTGTCCACCCAGCTGGGAAGCAGTGGAGCTCGAGTTCTGGCCCAATCTGCCCAACTTCAGAGCCACAGTGTTGCCCGGTGCCATGTCACCTACTTTCCTCAGCGTGGCAATTGTAAACCCAGGAGAACGGGCAGGAGAGGTGTCCTCGGAGGCTAAGCTCCATTGCTGCCACCGTGCGGGTGCCCGTGCTCCCCCCCAGACTGTTCCGTGTTGGGTCAGGAGGCCCCTTGGTGAGCTCCTGGGTCAGGGGACATGCTCCTTGCCCCGTTCACAAAGCCATCTGTAATCTGACTTGATCATAATTAGATTTTTAGCACATAATTGCAAGATTAATGGATTAATTATAATTGGTTTGCAGATCATTAAAAGCATTCCTCAAAAAACATGTTCACTACAGATTGTTTGGGGTTGCTCGGGGCAGGATAATTAAAGGGACAGAGTTAAAAATGAAAAACACAGGACAGACAGCCTAATTAAAGATAATCAAATAAACCCCCAAGTTAGCTGAGCTGACTCCGCCGCCTGCGCCGCACCGGCTCCTGCTCTGTTTCTCTGTGCCGAGTCGAATCTCCAGGCACCGTGTGAATGAATCACTTCTCTTGAGTGTTGGCCCATGTTTCTCTTCCGGAACAGCCTCCATTTGATGGTGAGGATGAAGATGAGCTGTTCCAGTCGATCATGGAGCACAACGTCTCCTATCCCAAGTCCTTGTCCAAAGAGGCCGTCTCTATCTGCAAAGGGGTAAGTGGATTTGGGACCCTTTAGTGACCATGGACCAGGAGGATAGACCTGGCCGTGCCTTTCCTAGGCTTCTGTGAGAGATGCCGGCAAGAGTATGGGCACACCACTGCCGTTGGCCACCGAGAGCTAGAACTTGGTGACATGCAGGGCATGGAGGGACATGTCGAGGACAGAGGGAACTCAAATCCCAACACTTCCTGGGCACTTCCTGGGCCTCAGCCGTGTCATCTCCCCCTATTGGACTTCTGTCTCCAGTCCAGCTCTTACAGCCATGGGGTGGGGGGTAGCCAGAATCCGCTGCAGGCCTTTGGAAGGCGTAGGTCTCTTCTCTTGCCTCGCTCAGGATGAGGGAGTTCTTTCTGTCTCCCCACCCCCTCAGTACTGGGGACTGAACCCAGGCACACACTACCACTGAGCTACATCCCAGCTCTCTTCAGTTATTTTTTTTTAATTTAATTTAATTGAGACAGGCCCTTACTAAGTGGCCGAGGCTAGCCTTGACCTTGCTGTCCTCCTGTCTCAGCCTCCTGAGTAGCTGGGATTTAGGTGTGTGCCACTCCATCTGGCTTTGTTTCTCTCTCTCTCTCTCTTTTCTTTTCTTTTTTGAGATATGACAAACTTACAGAAACAGGCACAAATCATCAGCCTACAGATCCACGAGCTGTCACAATGAATGTACCCATGTAAGCCCAGCCAGGCTGAGAAACAGAACACTGGAAGCCCCTCCTGTCCCCCTTTCCAGGTGCTCCCCACCCCGAGGGGTCCAGTGTCCCCTCTCCTGACCACGGTGCGGCTTCACCTTGTGGGTCTTGAACTTGGCGGGATCTTGCATCATGTGCACGGGGATGGCGCCTTTGGCTCAGCACTGGGTTGTAGCTGCGGCCACACTGCTGTGTGCCTGTGTCCTGCTTCCCTGTCCGTGCCCTGGTCTTTGTGTGGACTCACTGCAGTTATTCACCCTCCTCCCACCTGTGGGGCACTTGGGTGGTTTCCCTTTGGCTTAAGGCTGTTACAAACGGACCAGCTACGAAGCCCCTGGATCCTGTGTTCTGATGAACACTTGAGCTCCTCCCTGTCAGGAAGTGCCCGGGGCTGGAATCCTTGGTCAGGGCTTGGCTTCTTTCTAATGGTCAAGTTTGAGGTCACAGCATTATTTTCAGATTTAGTGAGAAGGATTGCAGCACACTCTTAACATCTCTGGTTCCTTCACTCACTCACAAAGTGTTGATCCTGCGCATCTTCCCCGGGCAGGGCAGGTGGCAGAGATGCCAGCGCAGAGCAACTGAGCTCCTGCCCAAGGAGCTTGGGCCAGCGTGGCCCCTGCATTCTGCCACAGGCACCTTGAAATTCAATAGTCGCCTCCTTGCCACGGTCTGCATTTTTCTAACCCAGGGGTCTTGGATCCCGGTTTGGTCCAAGCCCTGAAGAGGCATCTGAAGCTCATCACAGCATCCCGCGTGGGGCTCGCTGGTTTCCGTGCACACCGGTTCTGGTGACAGTGTCCCTTTTTACCAAATACACGTGCAGAACAGGAGGCCCAGGACAGGTACTGCACGAAGAGGCCTGTTTGAATTCCTCTCATTCCCTTTCCATGGATCCAGACTGCTTCCCCCTGTCCTTACTGTGACTACTGTGTCGTCACTCTAGGAAGGCCATACTTACCCAGCGACAGCTCTGTGCTCCGTGGTAAGCCTCCGGGACCGTCCAGGCACCTGCACCACTGGGCGGGAGGCAGAGCCAGGCAAAGGGACGTGCGTCTCCGGGAAGCCACTGTCACCCACCTTCTCTTTTTCTCTGCAGCTGATGACCAAGCACCCAGCCAAGCGGCTGGGCTGTGGGCCCGAGGGGGAGAGGGACGTGAGAGAGCACGCCTTCTTCCGCAGGATCGACTGGGAAAAGCTGGAGAACAGGGAGATCCAGCCGCCCTTCAAGCCCAAAGTGGTGAGTCCAGAAAAGCAGCCCATGTCTGGGTCCGACTCCCAGAGTCAGGGCGTGACCCACCCGAGAGAGCAGATGGGTGTCCCCTGGCCTCAGCCGCGGGAGGAAAATGGCCAGCGACCACCTGTGCTGCCCTGTGGTCTGAGAGGCCAGGAGTCCTGCTGCTTTGCACAGGAAGGATGGACGAGGGGAAGCTCAGCGCTCCTCACCCGCAATAGGGCAGCTGCAGAGCACCCAGACCCATGGAGAGCCAGGGCGGTCTTCTCTGGGGGCTGGACTGGGGGGACACCCGTGGCCGGCAGAGCTGTACTTCCTGCCCTGGGTCCTCAGCAGGACTCAGGTCTGTCTCCAGCTTTCCTGGGTCTGTCTTGCCTTGGTAGGGTCCTGAAGTATCTTCATCTTTATTAACTCATAAGCAGGGTCTGGGTGCAACTCCCATGTCACCCACTGTGTCCCCAACAAGGAGTGCATGGCAACCTCCGGTTCTGACATCACCAACATTGTTCAGATCCTGCCTGTGTGATATCCACTTTCCATTGATTTAATAGAACTATGCAGCAGACCCTGTTGTCCGCGCTTTATGAACGTGAATTCATTTAATCCTCCCAGCACCCACTGTGAGATGGACATTATGGTCCCCAGTATGCAGTTGAGAAAACTGAGGCACAGAGAGGTTGTGTAACTTGCTGAGGACACACGGTTGGTAGAACAAAGTCTGTGCCCTTTCCCCCAACACCAGTACTCCATCTCATGGCAGCCCTACAGCCCGTTCTGATGGCTGATAGCAGCCAGTGCTGCCTTTCTTAATGTTTGAACTCTAGAGAGAAACAGCATCTTTAAGATGCCAACCTCCTCACTCACCCACATGCCACCTTGCAGTGCCCGCTTTTCCCTCCATCCCCTTTCTAAGGGCTGGTGGGTCTGTACCTCCCGACTCTGCCATGTCTTGGCCAGCTCTGGACTATCGCCCCTAGTGCTTTTCTTCCAGAACTACAAGGAGAGATGCTGTAGACCACAGTGAGCATCAGGAACATCTGGTTCAGCCCAGATCTGCCTCCAGTGGGTGCCCCATGCGCAGGCCGAGGGGACCCCTAGGGTGGCGGAGTTGATGACTGGGGAACCACATCTTTGTTCTCAAAGTAGCAACTTCCACAACAAAAGTGCCTTTGTGTGCTCCGCTCCAAGAATAGAGCCCCCTGGACTTTCTTTTGCTAAGACATTTTTAGCACAGGCTGAAGCAAAACCAAAATTAATCAGGTCAGTTGACTTCCTCCTGAATCATCGTTCCAAACAAGCCCTCCTGTGTCTGCCGCCACCACCTTCTCTGCAGCCTGCTCTGGACGCCAGGCGCTCTGCAGATCCTCTTCTTCAGGGTGTAAAACCCCGTGTAAGGTTTGGGTGGGGGGTGAGCTGGGCACAGATGGCTCCGCGGGGAATTCTGCTGGGGACTTCTTCACCCGCCTCTGCCTCTTCCATGTTTATTTTTCTTCTTAAATTAAAATGCAAAAAGGAGGCAAATAGCGTCTTAAGCACAGCTCATTTCTTTACAGAAGCAGCATAGAGACACCCAGGGACCCCGCTCCCAGGGTCCCGCAGAATGCAATGACCTGTCAATCACTTTCTGGAAGGAGATGAGGCACCACAAAGCCAACCGTGAAGCACACTGTCTTTCCTCTATTTGTTCCCACCTTGATTTCAGAAGAAAGGGTCTTTCCAGTCTCCCACTTTCCACGGGCATTCTGACCTAAAGTCATACGCGGGGAAAGTCAGACGTGATTTAGCTCAGGCGGCCAACAATGGGAGCTGCTCCCTTTGGGCCACTGAGGTCACGGGAAGCAAAGTGGTTTCGACGGCGGGCAGCTGAGGCTGGAGAGCTGCTGTAGGTTTTCTTGTTTGCTTATTTGTTTGTGGAACTGAGTGCTGGTTAAAATAAGAAGGAAGAATAAATAGCCTTTGGCTGTAAAGAAACAGCCCCCGAAACTCTCAAACAGAAGCAGAAATTGTAGACAGAGACCTTCAAGCTGAAGTTGTCGAGGGTCTAAGTGGGGGTGCTGTGGTCCCCCCCACCCCATGTTCAGAGGGGGACTAGAGGACAGGGCCAGGAAGAACACGGGTGGCAGGAGGGGGGCCCCTGGGACACACAGACACCCAGGCTAGACCGAAGCCAGCAGCGTCAGAGGACATCAAGGCCAGAGAGCTAAGTGGGGGTGCTCTGGTCCCTGGGAGGGCAGCGGACAGCTGCTGAATACCTGGCTTTCTCCCAGCTCCTGGCACCAGGCCACATGCCCACAGCAGAGTCGGCTTCTTAATCTCCGGTGAGGGGCATTTCCCTGAAAGGGCACCTGGTTCGTGGCGCCATACTGGAGTGACCACCACACCAAGGACAGCTCCAGTGTTTGGAGAGGACATCGTTGACCCGAGGAAGCAACTTCATTCCAAGCTGCAGATGCTCTGGCTGAGCACCTGCGGCAGGCGAGAGCTGGCCACAGGCAAAAGTGACTCTGGTTTGTGGTTTCCCAGCTTCCTGCTGAAGAGTTTCCGGGCCCAGGCCTAACCAAAGAGTCCAGTTTACAGAATAAATGCAGAACAGAGCACTTTCTGAGAGATGGTTCTGTTATGTCAAAGAGGGAAGCAGCAGCCCAAGCCTCCGGCCCACTGCTGAGGAAGGCAACAAGCCTCTGGCCTGCCCACGCACTGACCTGGTCCCAGAGGGTGCCCAAGAGCCTTCTGGACCCTCCCGACACAGCTCGTCCATCTTGGTGAAGCCAGGCTAGCAAGCACCGGTGAATCTATTTTCCCTGAGATTCACAGGATTAGGGAGGGTTTGCTGTTGTCCGTGCAGGATCGCTCCCGGCCCCATGGAATGAGCCTCTGCCTGTTGCAAAATACCAGCCGCAGGACTTGAAGTACTCATGGTTATTTGCCGGGTGGTTCCTGGAGACCAAATTTATATTTGTAGAATCACGAGGCTGTCGTCTTTGTTTATATTTATTTATTTATTCATTTTTGCAATACTGGGGATTGAACCCAGGAGTGCTCTACCACTGAGCCTTCTCTATTGTTTATTTTGAGACGGAGTCTCAGTAAATTGCCCAGGCTGGTCTCTTGTGCTCATCCTGCTCCAGCCTCCTGAGCAGCCGTGATTACACTTGGGCACCACCAAGGAAAGATTATTCCAGAATCGCTGACTCCCCTAAGGAGTGTGGAAGGATTATATCATCAGCCACAGGGCTTACCTGGAAGTATCAGGGTTCCCATGGTGTGTGATCTTTTTATCGTCTTTCTGAAGGCCAAAGTGACATTGGCAAAGTTAACCTTTAGACGGAAGTGTCTTGCAAACTCTGAGATCCTGCCACAAAGGACACTTCATAGTGCTGGGGTCCATCAGCAGGCTCCTCACAGGACTTTCCATCGCCCAGTGACATGGCTTCAGCTCAGCCATGACCTGGGCTCTACATAGTCACACATAAAGGAGAGAGTTCTGGGCGTCAGATGTAGGGGACTGTGGCCAACTCACCTGAGGTGTCTGGAGGCTCAGAGGTGAGGGAAGAACCTATTGTACCAGCCAAAACAGCGAGAGTCCAGTCCTGGACAGAGCCTTGTCTTTGTCCAAAGCACCACCATGTGCCATTGTGAAGGAAAATGATTTTCTGGAAGATAGGACCATCAGGTAGCAGGGCAGAGCCTCTGTGTGCTGGTTTATTTTGCAAAACAAAAGCCAAGACATGCTGGAGAGGAAGCAGACACATGTGCAAGGCAGGCTGGGCCCAGTGATCTCATGGATACAATGTCGAGGACCCTGCTGCACAGACAGAAGTGCCAGCTCAGCATTGGCCTGACTTTTGGTGTAGCACACCGAGCAGTGGCCCGTCACTGTTCAGAAGACGCCATCTAAGAAGATGCTTTTTTTTTTTAGTGTAAAAGCGATGTCACCTCTGAAAAGCTTAATCTTCAATTACAGGGGAAGAAATAAGTGGTCCCCTGCGTCCCCCTGGCATCAGGCAGGCAAGGGGGTGACTGGCCAGCTTGGCCCACCTGAAACCTGCCCAAGAAAGACTTCCCTTTCCTTAGACATTGCCTGAACAATGAATGCTCCAATATTCTGATCTCGTCGCTTTGACCTTTGCAGGCTTTTATCCTGATTTATTATTCATGTGGAGAAACTGACTGAGACCAGCCTTCAAATCTCTCTTCCTCCTGCTTGTCACAAAGAGCAGTTTACACAAATACCGGAAATGAAAAGTTAATTGATTTTTTCTTCTTTTTTGAATCTGGTCCATTGGCACCAGGGAGTAGAATAGCTAGTTCACAGGCAGGCCGGAAACAGTCGGCGCACTTTAATAGTTATTGGAGAGAGAGAAAAATTAATCCATAAAGTTAACACCAAGAAACAGCCCAGAGTTGACAGGTAGGCAGAGCACTTTGGAAATGGGCCTGTCTTTCCTAAGTGACTTTTCTTGGGAAATCACTGTAATTATTCTATCAAAAAGACATAGAAAAGAATAGAAGAACTTTTATCAGGATATTGTCATCCTTGCAGCAAGAGCCAAAGAGAATAAAAAAAAAAAACATGGAGACAAAGCGTAGGTGCCACTGTGGTGAGAAGGCACAGTCCTGAGTGTCCCTGTCTCCACGAACCTCTGCATTTCACAATGGCATTAGCTTGTAGAGAGAGTTCAAAGATGGTCTAATTATCAGAATTGATGCAGTGATCCTTTTCATTGTTTAAAAATAATTTTTAAAAATTTCTCATTTTAGACTTGTAGAAAAGTTGGGAAAATATTGTAAAGAATTTCTGCTTTCCCTTTACCTAGATTCTCTAAGTGTTAAGTTTTTATCACATTTGTATTATTCTCTTCCTACTCTTTCTCAGCCTGTGTGTACACACACACACACACACACACACACACAGTTTTTCTAGAAAAAAAACATTGAGACTAAGTTACACCTAAATAATTCCCTGTGTATTTCCTAAAAATAAGGACATCTCATGGTACAATGTTCTTTTACTAATTACTCCACAAAGTTCTTCATACAGAGCAGCAGCTGTCCAAGGAAAAAAGGTAAGGCCACACAGTGACCATCTAACCCATAAAATACCACGGTGCATCTGAGCAGTTCTCTTGAGTGACAGGCAGATTCGCTTGGTCTTTCCATCAAGCCAGCAAGGGCGGTGCTGATTAAAATTGAGATTCTTGAGGCTCAGGGAGTTTTGCTGACAGCATATAATACTAACCAGCCTTTGGAGACTCAAAGAAATCCCATCATGACAGACATAGGTTTGATTCAAGCCTTTACAACCAATCTAAAACAGCACCTTTTACTTGGTTAATTAGAGGCGAGCACTTTTATCTATTCTTTGATAATCACTGTACCAAATTCCACCGTGATTGGAAGAAAAAGGAGACATTATAAATAATAATCAATACAAATAAGTAGCAAGGTCAGGCATGGTGGTGCATGCCTGTAATCCCAGCGGCTTGGGAGGCTGAGGCAGGAGGCTCATGATTCAAAGCCAGTCACAGCAAAAGACAGCTACTAAGCAACTCAGTGAGACCCTGTCTCTAAATAAAATACAAAATAGGGCTGAGGATGTGGCTCAGTGGTCAAGTGCCCCTGAGTTCAATCCCTAGCACCTAAAAATAAATAAATAAGTAGCAGTATTGCAAACCTGGCTGCTTCAGTGGTGAGGAGTGGCATAAATACAGACCTGTGCACCTCAAGTTGTGTGACTCCACAGGTTTCCATAGCCTGAGGTGAGGGTCCTGACAATGATGGCCTTTATACGGTTCTCCTGAAAAGCTAGCCACTTCATAAAGTCCAAATAGAATGTGTGAGAAAATAGCCTCAGAATTTCCATAGAAAACAGCTCACAGTAAGCCAGAACCTTTGCCCTCCCACACACACGGCTCTCACTCAGACAGGAGTCCACCCCTGATGTCCGTGGTCTGTATCCATCTGCAAACTCTCTGAGAGAGTTCATCTCCCTCCTCCACAGCATGTGCCCTTGGAGCTAAGGCTCCAAGGCAACAGGTGAGGTGCGTTTAGAAATCACAGTCACCTCCATCTCTCCCACAGGTGACACCGGCAGGAGGTGGGGGAGGTCATCCCTCTAAAACAATTATTAGTTATTAAAGTAGTATCTCTGTGTGGTGGAATAAAGAGCCGTGCTGTAGAGCAGGATATAGGCCGAAAGGTGATTGCTCGTTTCCCCTCCCCAGTGACTGGTCCCACTACTTGGGATCTTTTCTGTAACCTCCAGAAAGTTCTGTGTGTGTGTGTGTGTGTGTGTAAACATCTACATAAGTGAGTGGTTCTGTGCTCTCCACCTCTGCGGCAATGCTAGATGGCCTGGGTTCCCCCTTGTCAGACACAAGGGTTCGTGACAAGCGTCACATAGCCATTCTGGTTCTCGGGGTCCCAGGCCGGCAGCTGACTGTTCTCCAAATGCTGTCCTCTATCCGTTCTTATTCTCCAGACTTTCTGTACCAAAATGCACTGGCTTCAGTGGGCATCCAGGCATTCGGTGAGCACATGTCCAGAAACTCGGGTGACTAAACGAGCAAACTAACTCTCACTGTAACCCCTAACTGTGTGCTCCTGCTTGCGTTGGCCATGCATGCTGACCCCAGGAAGGGCAGAGCAGGGGCCGAAGACCCCCCCTGGAGGGTTAGGAAATGGAGACCTTCCCTCCAGGGAAGCCCAGGGCCCGCCGTGCCGGCTCACTTCTGCCGTGGGTTATTTAACCTAAACGAAGGCTGTACCGTGAGGAAGCTGCTCAGAGGCCTCGGTGATGTTCTCTGTGGTGCCCCCACCGCACAGGACCCTGCTGAGGCCTGCCCTGCACTGGGACGGGAAGCACATGCTGGGTTCCTTACACCCACCCAAAGACATCCTGTGGCGTCCAGGGACTGTGAGGGACCTCCTCCTCCTTTCCATGTTTCCATTTTCTCTGGTGCTGCAACATGCCTTTACGCTTCGTTTGTTCTGCGCTCTGCCCCCTCTTCTGGGTCCTGTTGGTCTTGCTTTTTAACAGCTGTGTTTTTGAGCTACTCGTGTTCCCATGCCGCGTCCGGGGGGTCATGTTCCACATGACTGAGACACTGCAGTCCAGGGCAGGATTGAGCCCAGCACGTGGGTTACTTGCTCATACCTGGTGACCTCTCAGGTAAGGCTTACAGCTGAGAAGCCAGCCTCCGCTCTCCCCGCCACCCCTCCACAGGACTCCAGGGCTTGGCAGCGGGCGTGGGTGGGGGAAGCTCTGCAGCCCCGGCTTCTAGGAGGGGTCTGTGCTTGTAAGGTCTTCAGCATGTCTGACTTCTCCTGGGCTCATTTTATTAATTAAAGAACTTACCAAATGGGCAGGGAGGTCAGAGTGATGAAGGAGGTAATTCCTTAATCCAGAACTAAGGAAGGGGAAGGTACATTATTAATAGTGTTCATCCTTCTCTCTAAAGTCGGTCAGACGCCCTTTACCTGCTGGGCACTGGCTCCCTGTGTTGTACCTTGTGTCCGGGTCACGACACATTGCTTATTAAGGAAATCCCATACATGCCAGCTCCCTCCATCCTTACGACAGCCGAGAAGGTGAGGGTCGCATCCCCATGTTACCTTTAGGAGTTCCCCAAAGCTGTGCCCTGGGGCCTGTGACCACTCCACCGTGCCCTCATTTTTCCCTCAGGTGCTAGCACCCCCAGTGGTGCTTCCCGCCACCCCCCTCTTTGTCCCAAGCTAGTTGGGTCCTACATACATCTCAACCAGCATAAAACCTCAGTTGGTGAAAGGTGGGGGTCAGGGGGAGCAGCACCGGAGGTGAATCAGGCACAACGAGCCCAGGAGTTCTGCTCACACGTCACTTTAGCTGCTGTTGTGTCAGGTGGTCTGGAGCCCTGAGGTCACGGACAGACCAAAACTGAGTGTTGTCACACAGTGCCGTGGAAGCTGCCCTTCACATGACTGTGGAAACCACCTTCCTGCTTCATCCTGAGGAATGCTCGGAGGCTGTCTGCTGTCAGCCCAGCTCTATTTGTCACTCATTCACTTGTTCATCCACACGTCCCACAAGGTTCCCCCTTAACCTTTTCACCTCTCTGCCTCTTCTTCCTCCCTGCTCAGCTCCAAGATGGCGCCCATGGCCCATCAAGCTGGCAGTGGAGTCAGATTGGATCATAGGTAGTAGGCAGAGTCTCTTCTGCCTTGAGAACGCAATAGCTTGTTGAGTTTATTGTTCGTTTTTCCAAAGGATCTGAACAGCCCTGATTCCCATGATCCTTTTCAGTAGGTTCTGGAGGTGATATGAGGACAGTGGCAGTTACCTACAGAACATCTTGAAAAACACCTAAAAGATATTGTCTATTTCTGGGCCTCGTTTTGCTAAGAGATGTGGAGGGCTTATTTGTAAAGTATTGAGAGACACTCCATAGTAGAAAAATAAGTGATATTTTTCACAGTACTGAGCTTGTGGTAAAAAAAAATAGTTGTACTTCCTGCTGGCCCTTCAGTGGGGGAAGGAGATTTCTGGTATGATCTTCCTCAGGATAAGCATCCTTCTGATTCTTGGACCTCACCTGATCCTCAGACTCAACCTCCAGCTTTTCCAGGGCTTGCTTCCCCGTGACCTTCTAAGATACTGTCCTGTTCCCGTTTGTCCCGTGGTGACATGTGTGAAACATCAGTGGTTTATTTCTTCCTCTTTGCCCTTGGCCTGTCCTTGCCCCCTGATCTCTTCACCTAAGTGAACCAGTTTAAGAAAAGCTTTCGTTTGCTAAAATGGGATTTCTCTCTCTTGAGTGGGGGGGGTGGGGGGTGGGAAATTCCAAAGAAATTCAGAGTGAGAAAGGAGAGGAAGGTATTTCTGGGGGTGAGCAGTGTTGAGGCCAATAGTCTCACTGCCATTCAGTGTGATTGCAGAGCAGGAATTAGACCAATCTGTGATCATGATTTCCCCTCAGCTCTGCAGTTATCAGCAGGGTCATGGAGGCTGGCGGGTGGGGAGGACATCTTCACCATTTATTACAGATCCTCACTTTACAAGCAGTGGAAGCCCTTAGAAAGAGCCCTTCTTGAGATCCCCAAGATAGAATTTGACATCCTCAGGCATCCACCCCCCATCCTTCTCAAAGTTGATGTTTGTATGGACACCTCTTTAGATCGTGAGAGCTCTCTTTTCCTTTATTTTATTTTTCTTTGGCAGTAAAACCCTGGCTTTTGGAAATGTCCTGTTGGTGAATACCATAAATAGTACTCAGAGGAAAGGGTCAGACTTGAACAGTCTTTTCACAGAACAAATCAATAAATCTAAAGCTAGACGGAGAGCTGTCCAGCCAGGCCAAGGGAACACTTCACCCCGGCCAGCCTTGCTCTGCCTTTTAGGGACTCACATTCTTTATTGATTTTTTTTCCCAGAAATTCATTCTTGCTCATCTTTGCACGGTTAGTGAGTAGTAGAGATTCTTTTGAGGAAGAGCACATCCCAGTTTCTGGGAGCAGCAGCAGTAGGTTTACTTGAGTTCTTCTGGAAAGTGGGTATTAATTCACTGGGCTCCAAGAGAGCATATTCTTCAAGGCCTACTCTCCCTGGATCCTGACCCTCCTACACTGCTCTTGCCTGGGGCTTCTGCAGCTTCTCCATCTTCTGTTCTCACATGTGACTGTTCCTGCCTAATTGCCTTATTTGGCCCCTACATTCGCCTTCACACTGAACCTAGGACTTACTCAGCCTCACATTACAGCCTGGATGGATCACAGAGTTTCTCAACAGCAGCACAGTTGACAATTTTTTAGCCTAAAATGTCCTGTGCATTTGAGAATTTTTAGCAGCCTCCCTGGATGGTACCCACCAGATGCCAGTAGTGCCCCTTGCCTAAGTCATGATGATCAAAAATGGCTTCCCTGTGGAGCAAAATCTTCCTTAATTGAGAACCACTTTTTTTTTTTTACTGAAAGAAAGGTTCTTCCTCCACCTGTTTCTATCATCACAGCAGTATCTGAAAGTAACACCCCAGTGTAAGCTAGTTTCTGTGTGTTTGCCTCACTGTTGAATCAAGTGCAGATTCCTGATTAAGACACAGTGTGCCCTGCTGACTTCTTGAAGAGCCTTTCTCAATAGTTCAGAATGGCCTGTGCATGTTGGGTGATATGAACCTCATATTCTGTCTCTGCTGACCTTGTCTTTGAAGCGCTTTGTGTTCTTCCAGGGTAAAGCATCATGGAAACATGGAGTCTGAAAGTGGAGGCTTTGTCACCCATCTGTGGGAGGCAGGACTATATGAAGAGTGAGCCTCACAGTCTGTATGGCCTCCACAGGGTCAACTCAAAGACCCCCAAACAATCTTGCCACACACAACTCTGCCACCACGCCCTGTCACTAGACGTGAAGTCTTCTTGGGTAGCCTCTTGAGATGAATAATCCCAAAAAGGAATGCAGTTATTTAGGATTTACTTTGAATTTAGGCCATGCTTTCCACCTCAACAAGTACTTAGGAGCAAGTTTTATTTGAGGAAAGAGGGTAGGAAAGGTATAATAAAACTTGATTCTCAAGAAAACCTTCTAGAAGATAGAGAAGGAAGAGAAAAGAAGAGGTGGGAAAGTACAGCCATGAAACTAATCTGGACTTATTTTTTTAAATAAAAAACAGCAAGATGTATTAAACTCTGACTCTCTGCTCAACTCTGTATGAAACTACACATTGAGCCTCAGAGCAGCCTGCGGAGAGAGGTGCAATTATTCTTCCCACTTTACAAATGAGGAAATTCGGTGGAGCCCAATTGACAGTTTACATAGGCCATTGTCTGTCAAAAGATCCGAAAGTTTCTGATGAGATTAAAATTCATGTTAACTCAGAATCAAATCATGTTGCCCTGTGGTACAACCAACAGGTTGAAGGCAATAATTAGCAACATGTTAAAAATCATTATGAGTAACACCAGTGGAACTCCCAGATTTGTTTCAGAGTGTTTTGGGGGTCCCAAAGAATTTGACACAACCCTTCTTCATGGCTGGAAAAGTGAGGGGACACCCCTTCCTCCCAACTTGAGTCAGACCCCCAAGCAATGCCTTTAGACACAGCTGTGCACTGTATTTCCCAGAGATCATCATGGAGCACCTCTGCCTATAGCCTCCATTTGCAGAGTACCCTGATGGACCCTAGAGGAGAACAGTATTCAGATAGCCTCCCCAACATCCCCCTGGGCACCAGTGCAAATCCCCCAGCCCAAGACCACCTACAAATGAGTTCTGCATAGACCTGCCTGTCAATTGACCAGCTCTATCCAGATGCATAGAATTACAGCCAGGCTCAGCAGTCTATCTCCCACCATTGCCTCCACACCTACCCCATCTTACTTGAAGATTAGGGACTAGAGTTTCTATAACATCCCGGTTAGAAAGCAAAGATATACAACTTTTGTTTTATTACAAATATCATTACAAAGAACCAGATGTGGTGCAGTGAACTAACCCTCTCAGTTCAGGAGTAACTGCCTGCAGTCCCAGCCAATATCCTGGCTTTTTCAGCATGGAGCCATAACTGGGGCCCTGTGTGCACAAGGTTCATGCTCATAGCTCTGCTTGCTCAGAGGGATGGAAATGAAAAAAGAGATGCTATCCCCATATTGCTACTTTTGCCAAAAGTGCATTTCTATCGAGGTTATTCATCCTGGGGGTATGCAGGGATTTACAGTTGAGTAAGTTGTTTGCTGTGCCTGGCTTCTATTACAGTAGGCCTGCAGGTTCTCTGAGATTCTTCCCGCCTAACAGTCCCAATTTCCCTGGGCCACACTCCTCTCTACAGAGTGCTTTCAGAGAACTGCCCCCTGTGTTTTTTTCTCCCTAACCTTTTATTTTTCTTTATTTTCTCCACAGTGTGGCAAAGGAGCAGAAAACTTTGACAAGTTCTTCACACGAGGGCAACCCGTCTTAACACCACCAGATCAGCTGGTCATCGCGAACATAGACCAGTCTGATTTTGAAGGGTTCTCATACATCAATCCCCAGTTTGTGCACCCAATCTTGCAAAGTGCGGTATGAAACTCACCAATGACAGCAAATGCCTCCCCAGCCCTCAGCCCTCCCAGCAATGGGGAACAATTCTCAACCCTAAAATTTTAAGGCCATGGCCTTGTGTCTTATTCCACACAGAGGCCTGAAAATTGTAGGGTCATTAGTCCACATGGGGTCAACTTTTCAGGGTCTCTCTTACAACCAAGAACATTATCTTAGTAAAAGATGACATAATGTACAGTATCCAGTTTAATTATGTAGATATCACATCAGGCTGTAGGTTAACCCTTCCTAGAAAGCAAACAGACTCTTGCCCCTTTTTTGGTACTACTTGATATGTTCTCCATACCCTCCATCTGTGGATTTTCACCATCAGGATCCCTCAACCAGAGATATTCAAGTGAACTACCCAGCCCAGTGTGTTGAAAGCATCTTTTCCTAAGACGTCTTTGGAATGAAAGGATAGGGAGCCCAGAGAGTGAACAAAGAGGGATCAGGGGTGGTAGAAGCTTCAAGATACCCACCACTTTTGTTCTCTGCCTTGATGGAAACAGTCCCTAGAATCTGAGAGGCCAGGATGAACCTTATCATTGTTCCCAAACGTCATGACCCAATTATGGTCCAGCTGTTTAAAAAAGAAAGACAACCTCAGATGAGTGTTGGGTGAATCTATCATCCATTACCCAGTTGGTTGATAACTGTCTTGATACTTGCATTCTTCTTAAGAGGCCAAATCATCTAAGGACTTTGCTAAACAAGCATGTGAAATCATGTCAGATCAAGGATAAACCAGTGTGTATGTATGCTCATTTTAATCTCTGGGAGATTGTTCTTCAATCCAGGGTGCCATCAATAACCATGCCACTACTCATGAGTGTTGTTAGCCAACCCCCTCCACCAATATTTTGCTACCTATGTTGTCACCCTTCCTAAGAAGCTGAAGTATATGCCCCATCCCCTTTTGTACTTATTTATTTAATAGGCTGCTGTGTCATTTAAGAAAGTACGATGTATAGTAACTTAATCAAGACTTGATTCTAGAATCAATCCCTACTTGTTGGTTTTCCTGCCTTCTCTAGCCCTAGACATTCACTTAGGGATGAAAACCAATATGGTTTGGGTTCCCACTTCCTTTTGAGCGACACACCTGGAGCTATAGAATCAGGATGCCTGGATGCTTATCAGCTCAAAGATGTTTTCTTGCTAGAAGGTTTTTAGTATGTTTTGCAAATGCATCATGCAATGGATTTGCATGTTTATAATAAACCTTAATAACAAGTGAATTATATTATTGATATAATCTTATCAACTATAAAGAGTATTACAATAATTTTATAAGACACAATTGTGCTATATTTGTGAAGGGTCATGTTTCTAATCTGCTAATTTTATGATTAAGTTTTAGCTGAATTCTTTGATGCTGTGCTTCCTCTCCCCTCCCACCCCTGCACATTGGCACTGTATCAGATATATTAATTTTTTAATATAGATCTAATTTCAAAAATGAATGGCTAACTTTACATGTTTAATTAGGCTTTTACTATGTATGTGTATATATTTATATATATATATATGTATGTATATTTGATTCTACCTGCAAACCAAAGTTTTGTTTGTGGGATTATTTTTGAGATGAGACTCTGTCTTAGCTTCCTAATGTCATCTTCTGTTCAGGTACTCCCACCACTCTTCCTCTTGGGGATAGCACAAAATGTTTGAATCCAGGATGTCTAGTATGTTTGTGTACATGTGGCATTATGGCATTGTCACAGTACCTGGACTGACTGTGTGTATGTGTGTGTGTCTGTCTGTCTGTCTGTTTGTCTCTCTGTGTGTGTGTGTGTGTGGTTCTTCCTCTCAGCCTGTGATTGTTGGAGACTCTGGGCTGGAGGGAGAGGAGGCCCCATTCTTGCTGCATATCTGGCCACAGCAAAGCTGCTCCCCTCATTTGCTGCCCCACTGTTTGCTTCAGCACATATAAAACTTCATGAGACAAACCAGGTATCAGCCCCTGAGCACAGCCATCCCCTGAAGCTACCACCAGACACTTTTCATAGGCTGCACATTTTCTTCCAGCTGTTGCTAGAATTGGCCATTCAGATCTTGTGCACCTCTCTGGCTTGACACTCTCCTCATGCAAGGTCCTCAGGAAAGCCAGCCTTCTGCAGCATAAATGACAGGTCAAATGGAAGTAGGTATTGGTCTTTATAGGAAACTGCTGTATTTCCTCCCCGAAGCATTTCTCAGCTGAGCGCCCTCATTTTTACTCTCTGGCTGTTCACACAACATATAACCCCTGAGGGTCTTTGAGGTGAGAGGCCTGAGCTCTGTTAGAAACCCTGATTAGAGGGAGAGATGAAGTAGGGAGTGGGCTAGACCATAAAATAGCAGTTTCTTTTGCCATCTTTTATGAATTCCAGACTTCAAAACTCAGAAGGGTCCTAGCTCACTGATCCCTGAAGCCCTGCTCATCAGGGCATATTTTGGGACATGTCCTCATCAAGGCACCACACTTAGTCCAGTGGAAAAGGAACTGGTTCATAGAAAGCCTAGGAGAAGACAGGTACAGTGTAATCCCAGTGACTTGGAAGACTGAGGCAGAAGGATCACAATTTTGAGGTCAACCTAAGAAACTTAGCAAGACCCCATCTCAAAAAGAGCTGGGGATGTAGCTCAGTGGTAGAGAGCCCTGGGTCCAATACCCAGTACCAAAAGTTGGGGGAAGCCTAGGAGACAAATGGATGGTCTCCCCTGTCCCAGGTGGAATAGGAACAGGGTTGGTCCCCACCCAAGACATGGAAAGGAGCACTAGGTCATGGACCATCAACCCAGTGTGCCAAGCTGCCTGCTTATTGTAAGCAAGCAGAAAGCTAGGGCTCTCCCTCATGTGATTCTAGCAATTCCTACTTCTCTAGGAAACATACTCAAACTCTCAGTGGCCTCTGTCCTTAAGGAATGTGTGACCATTTTCAAAGAGAGAACCCTAAGCATGGTCCAGCATGCTGCCTAAGGGACAGCAGATTAGGAAGGACCTGGGGGCAGAAAATGGTAAAAATTAGGGCTGAAGCAGAACTCATGGTGTGGCCTGTTTTGTGTGTGCTGAACCTAGATAAAGGCCAATGCTTTCAGGATCTGAGCAGTCCAGGACAGTGATTACTGAAAGACTAACTCATGTGGATAGCTACTAATAACTGTTGGGGACTCTAGGAAGAACCTGCCCCTGAGCACTTGCTGGCCTATAGAGGAGAATCTAGCACAAAAGATGTCTCTGCAGGATCGTCATGCTGAGACCCCAAAAGGCCATTCAGATCGCTTTGCTTTCTCTTCCCTTGGAAGGTGGGCCACTGCTCAGTGGCAGAACTTTCCTGCAGCTGCAGGCCAGTGGGCTGGCAGCCCTGCTTTTGGCACCATGTCGGAACTGACCCAGTGCTTGGTTTGTGTGGAAGGAGCTGGACTATGCTGCCAGGTGCAGTCCTCGGAGGTCAATGGGAGGCCCACCTCCAGGCAGGAACTAATTCAAAAGGTAGATGGGAAACCCAGGAACCCAAACGAGTGTACCCCACCGCCTCCTCCTTGGTCCCTGTGGCCTCGTTTGAGCTGTGCAGACTCACTGTCTGCCTTGGCTGATGGGATGCATTAGGCTTTTCTATGAGGATTTGCAGTAGAAAAGTAGGTGGTGGAGAGCTCTCTGGAAGCCTGGCCTGAGATGGTTGGTTGAAAGATTATCGTAGACAGAGACTGACACAACCTGGCCAAGGATGGTCGGTCACCTCAGAGCTAGAGTTCTTAGCCAAGTACGGTGACTTGCCAGAGTGAGGGTGCTGACCCCAAGAAAGTCACCCACTGACGTGACCTGGAGAGAACAGAGGGGTTGCTGGAGGCTGGAGTCGAGTCAGCAAGGGGTTGGGGGAGAGCAGGGTTTGAGGGCCTCGGGGAGGAGGCGTGCTGTTAGAGCAGAAGAGCTGCCGCAGAGGCGTCAGTTCAGACGGGAGTCTCTCTGCTGGTCTCTGAGAGTGTGTTCTTTGCCAGGGACCCATTTCGTTCCTTCTCAGAAAACAGCCCCTGAGTGCCCAGGACATCCTCACCAGCCACAAGAGGCCCCTTTCCGCTCGACCTTGGGCCGGCCCAGCTGTCTGAGCAGAGCCAGGCCACGCCAACCCTGGAGACCAGCAGGTTCCGTCCTTCTCCCTCTGTGGCTTCCTACTGAACCTCATGGCAGCTGAGGCAGCTGACACCACAGCTGCCACCTGCTTCCACTTAGCAGGGGAAACAGGAGGCTTCCTATTTTTTTTTGTTTTTGTTTTTGTTTTTTGGAGGGGAGGTGTTTTCTCAGTGCTAAAGTGGGGGGAAGTGAGAGTCTTGTGTTTTTGAAACCTCAGGAAGGCAACACCATCTGACAGTCATTTTCTCACTTTGCTCTCGTGAAGTTGTCTTTCCCTGGTGTGTGCACATCACACCGTCTCCAGCTCCTTCATCACCTCCAAGAGCAGGGCGCTGCTGCCCCTGGGCACGCCAGCCATGCTCCTGAAATGGATGGCGAGCCAGGGGCCGGGAAGGACAATGGACCAGGAGAGTTGGTGACAGCCATGGCAGTGATGAGGGAGGAGAAGGGCACCCTGGTCATTAGTGGCTACACACAAATCCGACAAGGAGGGTCAGAAAGATTTTCCTTTTTTTAAATCATTTTCCTCAAGCCGCTTGGGCCAGGGTTTATGAAATACACAGGACAGCCCCCATTCCCATCGTGTCCCCTTGGGGCCAACACAGAAAATCTAGGGGATGCTGTGTATTTCTGCTGTAGGAAAAATCTAGGAAATTGGAAAAGGTTCCCTGAGTTGTACGTGAATGAGGCAGTCATCTGGAAACAGAGCCAACTCCAAACCTCTTGATTCTATGATGTCAGGGTTGTTGAGGAAGGACGAAATTGTTCTGGATTCTGTCCCTTATGCCTGCCATTGGTGTGATCAGGTGTCATTTAAGAACTGGAAGTTGCACACAGTCATCAACAGCCTTACAATGACCCTACACTAAAGCCCACAATTTCCAAAGACTTTTTTTAACCTGAAGGAAGAAATGAATTTGTTAATTCCAACAGGATAACTGAATATACTGGGCTCTTTGTACTTTTTTATAATGAATTTTAATAACTCTTCTTTTAAAATGAGTTTTTAAAATAAAGCTACTAACAATTTCAAAAAAAATTCCAATTGGAGTCTGTAGGAAGACTCAACCCAGGTCAGATAGAGCACCCCTGACCTGCATTCCCACTGTAGGATTTTCCCATGCTGGTGGGTATGAAGTCTGCAAGTTCAGGTGGAACTTGTGGCAGTCTGATGCTGTTCTTAATTGATACTGGGGACAACTGCCTAAGGTTTAGATATTTTTGAACTGTAGGAAAGATGTCTTATTGACCCCATCCAGATGCAGCCCTGGGATATCATTCCTGGGTTCTCTGTGACCCCTTTGCTTGCTCTTTGAGGCTCAGTGACTATATTTTAGCAGGAGCAGGGGGACACTTTCTCAGCTCTATCCCCAGTCCCCTCTGGTCCCCGGTCTCTCGTGTTTGGTGAAAACTCAGAGATTCCCTGCAATGGTTTGCCCATTGGGCAATTCAGAAAAACTTTTATATCACAAGGAATAAGAGGCAGCAGCAAATGTGCCCACTGGCCTATTTTCACAGTTATTGCATCTGTGAATAGACAGAACCCCACTTTTCACAAAATAGGTATCCAGTCCACTTTATAAGAATCTCTTTTTCTAAAATGAAACAAAAGGTGGCTTTGCATTTTCTGATTAAACAACCATGTCTTTGCTTAACTTTAGGAATATCAATGCCTGTGATTGTAGCTTCTTATTGATTTTCTTTCTGGAAGAATGTGATTCTCTTCTTGAGGGGTTTTATTGGACTAATCCAAACTGTACATGAAGGCAGTTACTATTTTGAGGCTAAAGGTTTTCTAAAAAAAAAATAATAATAACCTCATATTCTTACTATTAGGGTCTTTCAGAATCTTTTATAGATGGTCGGAAACATTTGAAATTGCTTTTCCTACATGATTTGTGTGTGTGCGCGCGTGTGTGAAGGCCATGCCCTGTGTAAATCATTAATTGAAAAAAACATTGTCTGAGACCCCAAATTTGTAGGGAGGAAGAAATGGAGGTTGAGGGTTTTCCTTCTTCGTTAAGCACCTTCTGACAGAATACAGAGGCCGTTTGGCTGTTGACTAGCGTTTGGTTCTACCGCAGGTGAAGTGGATGTATAAATTATTGCATTGCTCTCCTCGACTCGTATAACCTCTAATCTTTGTTTGCATGACATGCTTTGTTAGATACATTAATTGTAGTTTGGAAGCAAGTGTGTATGAATAAAGGTAATGATCATTCCCTAGTGTGCCTGGTCTCATTAGCATCCCTCTGCGGCCCTGCGATGGTTTTTCAAGTATTTGTAGGATAGCATCCAACTGGACACCACCTGCAGAGCACTTTCATCTGGCCATCTGTTTCAGGGGTGACGTACCACTTCAAGTCACCCTTTTCTCATTTGAAATGCTGCATGCTGTGAACCAAAGCCCAGTGACTGGGATAAAGTAGTGGCAGATCCTTCATCCATTCCCACATCAACCTTTCCTCACGCACCTGCTAGGGGCCAGGATTGGGGCCAGGCCCTGGGGATACCCATCTGGCCCCTGCCTCCGTGGAGCCTACATCCCTGCACCTCCAAACTGCAGGGGACACACAGCCACTGATCAGGACACCCTCCAAGAACAAATGACCCCCTTCTATGGGAAGGGAAGACTCCAGAATTCAGCCCAAATCTTGGGACTTCTTCTCCAGAAATACCCATGTCTAACACGTCCCAAGGACCACTCAGGACTGTGTCCCCACTTCGAGTGCCAGAGGCCCTCACTCCAGTCTAGATTCATGGGTGAAAACTGGGGTAAACTGGCAAATGTGGAACATTCTGAAATGCCCCATGTTGGGGAACTTAACACTCACGAGGGCATACCCTCAGAGGAGTTTAAAAAAACAAAACTCAGTTTCTAAAAGCTGAGGATCAGCAAGATGTCTTAGCTCGCCCTTCACTCCTTCCTCTCACGTATGTTTACCTCACGGCTTCACGCCACCGCCCACAGCCCCCTTGTCCCGCAGTGCCCAGCCCAGGATCGCCCCTCCCAGCTCCCTCTGCATCCAGTCTTGCCTGCCCTGGGCTCCCGCTGCTCAAACCCTGTTCCCAGCCCACGGAGCCGTCCCCTGGTGCTAGTACCTACTAGGTTCATGTCCGTCTCTGAGATGCTATAGCCACACTTGACCTGAGGTCGGGGTCTTCCAGCTGCCAATGCAAGGGCCCGGGGTGGCAGGATATTTTGAGGAAAAGCAAAGGGTGCTTTGAAGGCCCTTGGGGCAGTGTGGCCTGACTCCTGTGCTGGCCTTGAGCTTCATTCTGGACTGGTGGATGTGACATGTCTGTGTAGACTGTGGCCGTTCTTCACATGACCCAGCGGGGTGGCCACAGTAGGAAGTGAGCTCTTCTATTTCATTTTTTCTGTGGTGCAGTGTGGAGCACAGCAGATCATCTTACCCAGAGCAGCTGCTGGCTGGGAGGACCCGAGTCAGGCCACTGTGTGGACCCTTAGGAGCTGGGGTCCAGAGGCACAGACAAGGTCAAATATGGCTGGTCTGCCCAGCCTCACGGAGGCCACAGGGGCGACCTGAGCACCAGGTGTCAAACCGTGTCCTTTGGGTGTATGGAGCCACCCAGAGCAAAGGCTCAAGAGTGCTCTCCTTCCCATGCCCACCCCTGCCCATGGACACCAGGTGCACCAGCAGGTGCTGTTGGGTTCCTCTTTAAGTCAAGGGTCTCAACTGGGGCCATTCTGCCCCCTGTGGCACATTTGGCACAGTCTGGTCGACAAAGCAAGGGGGATGTGTTGCCAGTGTCCAGTGGGAAGAGGTCAGGGAGGGAGACCGCTGAACAGCCTGCGATGGGCCGCACAGTCCCTGCAACAAACCGTCACCTCACGTCCTTGGTGGTGCTGCCGTGGAAAGCCGTGTTCTGAACCACACTCCAGGTTCTTAGCCTCCACTCCACCTCCCCTACCCAGCCTCCCTGAGGCCACACTTGATCTCCATGCCTGCCCTGCTCAGCAGCCAGCGGGATGCTGTTTGAGCAGGTCCCTGCTCCGTTTAAAGCCCTCTGATTTTCCATCACAGACGGGCCCACCAGGCTCCACCTGCCCACCCACCCCGGCTCTTGGCACACCGGTGCACAGGTAGGAGGCTGTGCATGTGTGTGTCCCCTTGACACCAGAACATGAGCCCTACTAGAGGAGCCAGCCCGCCCCTCCCGTGCACTGCTGGATCCCAGTTTCTGGACAGAGCTTGAGCAGCGTAGGAGCTCAAAAGAACGTTTGCTGGATGCGTGAATGAATGAGTGGATCAAGAACGCTGTGACCCAGCAAGGTGTAGCAGAAACCACACCCAGGCCACGGTCCCTGCCCTGGAGGTGTTCACAATCTGAGTACACACAGACCTGCTCAAAGATCGTCTTTCAAAAACTCACTGTGAGCTTAAGCCCAAACCCAAGTTCTCCCTCTCTGTCCTCCAGCCCAGAATCTGGAGGCCATGTCCCTCAAGTGATTGTTTAACACCCTGAGGTTTTTTCTCTGGCCTCCTGTGAGCTCTGGTTATCTAAAATGTTAAGGCACGCAGGCAAAGGCCATCTCTGTCCACCCCCAGAGCGTGCATTGCAGGGAGCAGGGTCTGACCCACAGGGAGTGAGCAAGGAAGGCTTTTGGCTCCAAGAAAGCAGAAATGAATGTCCCCCCAAGATCTTTTTTTTATGCTAATTCAATATCTACACTGCAGACAGGCCTGAGAGGAGAAAATAGAATATCCAGAGATATGAAAGGGGCTGGCCGTGGGCTCGAGGACCCAACAGACGCAGGTGAAAATGGGGGGAGAAAAACACATCACAAATTCAAGTGTGCAGCCGTGTGCACACACTCACTGGTGGTTTCCAGAGGTGGGCTAGGCATGCTTCCGGTCACTTTACATGCATTTATCTAAAGACCACAGTGACCGCTACTCCAGGTTCAACATATTTACCTTGTTCATTTTACAGAAGGAAAAAGGGAAATCCAGAGAAGTTAAGATGCAACCCCCAGGTGAGCCGACTGTAGGCACAGAGATGTGAGCCCTACAGACACTTCCTGAAGGGGAGGCAGTGAGGCTGCAGTCTGATGGGGGAGAGGCTGAAAAGAGGAGGCCAGCAGCAAACAAACTGGAGAAGAAGAGCTGATGTTACCTTGCACCTGTGTACAAATAGGACCATGTCATTTAATCCTCATGGCACCTTCCATGGGATAGAAATCATTATTCCCATCTTACAAATGGGGAAACCAAGGTCCATGGAAATGAAGCGGCTTCCAAACACATAATTCCTAAGCGGCACAGCAAGGCTGGGCACCAGGTCTCTCTGATCTTTCTGACCTGAGCCTGCTCAGCAGATCACAGACACAGCAATTGGGGGAGGGTACGCAACCAGGGCCCTCCTGGGACCTTCTCTCCCTTGGTAGCATTCTTTAAAGGCCACACTGCTATCTAGAGGGAGTTTGCTTCTCTTGGTGGAATCAATGCCATGAGTCTAGATGTCCTCTGAAACTGTTTCTGGAAGCCTCTCCCCCACCTTCACCCTCCTTCTGACTTTTTTTTTCACTCCCTGGGTGTGGGAGGAGAGAGAAAAATAGCATACAGTTCTCAGAACCCAGCAGGTACCTGGCAGCCTCCCCCACTGGAGACTCGCCACCCCAGAACCCAGGGAGGAGGGGACAGTGCATGGCTGGCTGGCCCTCCATGGCAGGACAGCCCTGGAATCCACACGCCTTCCCCAAAAAGCAGGAACCATGGAGGGGAGCATCGCTAGTGGGTGGGGACTAGTCGGAGTGGAATATCCGTGGCCTTGGCCATGGGCCGCCCAGGGAGGAGAGGGGGCCTTGGTTGGGGCAGAATACTGCAGGAAGGCTCTCACTTTTTCCAAAGTCCACAAAAGTAATTTTTGATTCTTGTAGCTCATACAAATAAGCAGAAGCAAATCCCATCACCCCAAGATCACTACTGTCTTCCTTAATTTGCTGGCTTCTTCGCTTCGGTGAATCAGTGTTTTCTAACTGTCCCGGAGCCCCTCTTATTAACCCACTAGGACTCGAAGCTGATCACTGAGAGCAGAGATCCTGGTTACTGGTGCACACATAAGTTAGCGTCTGCCAAGCCTGTAAGAACATGCCATTTAAAAAGCACCAGGCCCTTCCCCGGGGCTGGGGTCTTTTCCTTGCAGAATCGATACTTCTAAGGTTGGACTTGAGGTTTCCAATTTGATTTATTTGAAGAGAAGCAAGATCCAGAGGGACCCTGAATGCAGAGTCCTTCTAGGCATTAGCAGTGTCTCCGAGGCTTTCAGCCTTGCCTTCCTCACTGTGTCACCGTGGAGCCATTTTTAAAAACCCATCTTTTATTCACTTTCTTAAACATCCCATGTTGTGTTCACGGGCACAGCTCTGTCCTCGGTATTCATATATCACCAGCATGTGCGGCATGTGCTTCAATTAATTAACCACAAAGCACAGTCAGATGGTCCCCGAGGCTGCAAAAGTGACCCTCATTCGAAATAGACCCTACCTCCAGTTTGGACTTCCTCCCGGGCTAGTGCTAGATGGGCGGTAACAGTACCCCCGCGTGACGCTGGGCGGCAGCAGTGAGCCGCAGCTCCCACCCTGCCCCAGGTTAGCAGGATGAGACACAGCGCACTACAGAGGATGGTCGGTCGGTCAGTGTGTTTGATGCTCTTTCAACTTCTATTTCCACTTCTCATTTTAAATATTTATTTTTTAGTTGTAGTTGGACACAACTACTTTATTTGCTTTTATGTGGTGCTGAGGATCGAAACCAGGGCCTCGCACGAGCTAGGGGAGCGCTCTATCACTGAGCCACAACCCCAGCCCTATTTTCGCTTTTTAATGGATTTTGGTTAGGTGACCCCACTATTAGTTGAAGAGCATTTGTATTAGTACAGCATGAATTAAAAATTGGGGGGAATAAATGGAGACAGAGAAAAATCGGATGGAAATGTGAGAAAATAGGAATTTGAAGACAATAAAGTGTCATGTGAATTATTTAGTGTTTAACCAAAAAGAAGGAATATTGGTTAATCCAGTACACCTCAACGAGGAAAGATTCCACTAAAAAATGCACAATCATGTTGAAAGGCTGCATAATATTCCATTTTGGACATATGCACATTATCTTACATTGTGGGAGAACATAAAGAATATTCACTTTTGGCTGGGCACGGTGGCACATGCCTGTAACTCTGAAGACTTGGGAGGCCAAGAC